TCCCACAATCCCGGGAGACAGGCACCCAGGAAGCCTAACGGGGGGAATTGGGGAGTTCACTGCCCAAAAGCCCAGGGTGTGAGGTAGTGTCCTCTCCGGTCCAGCTCAGGAGGGCCCTGGCAGCCGCTACATTTCTGTGCTCGGTGATAGACGGCATCCTGTTTCCATGGAGATAGGAATATCTACGTGCCCCCTGAAGGCCGACCAGGAGTGAATGCTGCTTTTGTGATGAAACTGACCATCTCATTTCTCAGGGCTTAGGCTGAGCTACTGCCCAGATGAGAGACGCGCCGGGAGGTTTGCAAAGGCCCCGGGTGCCCGGTCCCCGCGGCCTTGGCGTCGCTTATGGCCTTGGTGTCCCTCCCGGGGGTCTCAGGTTCTCCTCGATTCTGTGGCTTCCTCCCGCCCGGAGCGAGAGCTGTGACGTGCCGGGCCGTGAGCAGGCTGGCCGAGCTGGCTCTGCAAGCTTGAAGCTATTACTGGAGGCAGGCGGAGCTGCCTGCGGATTTCTCTGGAATCAACATGCTTTCTCCGGTGGCCCCGATAAGATTACGGGGCCGCGGAGCTGCCAGTGTTCAGGTTTCCCACGGAACCAACGCTCCGGCCAAGCTCCGCTGCCTGGCTGCCTGGCGGCGAGGGGCCGCGCCTCAGCAGGCTCTGACCCCCGACCCCTTCCAGAATGTGCTGGGCCTCTGACAGGCTCCGGGCCTTCAGTCCCGCTACCCCAGCCTCCCCCGTCCCTGCGGACAGCAATGGGAGGTGTTCCTAGTGGAAGCCACTGTTACCGAGGGTCCCACAGAGCCTGGGAGCCAGACAGAAAAGGGGTATGCATGCCCTCACTGGTTTGGCTCAGTGGATAGAGCGTCAGCCTGCGGACTGAAGGGTCCCAGGACTGAAGAGTCCCGGGTTCGATAAAGGGCATGTACTTTGGTTGCAGTAGGGGGTGTGCAGGAGGCAGCTGATGGATGTTTCTAACTCTCTATCCCTCTCCCTCTCTGTGAGAAATCAATAAAGTACATTTAAAAAAACAAGAAGAGGGCTGAAACCGGTTTGGCTCAATGGATAGAGCATCGGCTTGGGGACTGAGGGATCCGGGTTTGATTCCGGTCAAGGGCATGTACATTGGTTGCGGGCATATCCCCAGTAGGGGGTGTGCAAGAGGCAGCTAATCGATGACTCTCTCTCATCGATGTTTCTAACTATCTCTCTCCCTTCCTCTCTGTACAAAATCAATAAAATTATATTTAAAAAAAAAAACAAGAAGAGGAAAAGAAAAGGAGTATGCAGCCGCAACCACACACTTCAGCTCCCAGAGGCCACACAGTCCCTAGTTTGACCCAGAGCTCAGCGAGGGGAGGGATCCCAAAACAGCGAAGGCTGTTGGTGAGATTGGGGGAGAAAACACTTCATGAAGTACAATGAACACCTTGTATATATGATACATCCCCCCCTCCCCCCCAGTGATACCGATAGTCTGTGAGGGTCGCAGATAGGATGGCCCAGTAACCTTCGGTGCCATTGAAGCACGAACGCTAGCATGTAGCCAGTGCTCAATCACAGAATGAACGGGGAAGGACAGGTGACAGCGGGGAGGGCCTTGGGGTTGCCTCAGAGAGAAGGCCTCTCTAACGGCCTCCATCCAAAGCAGACACCAGGGAAAAATAAATAAAAAATAAAATAAAATAAAATAAAGCAGACATCGTTTAGCCAATGGCAACAAAGCCTAATTCTCACCGGCTGGATCCCCCACTTGTTCGCCTGAACAGTAGCTGATGTCACGTGTCTACTATCTTGTCGAGCAAATGAAGCGCTTAGTCCACAAAAATTAGACTTTCTGCAAGTGCTCCTGGCTCTTCGGTGCTGACTACAGCCCAGGCGAAAGTACTCAGAGTGACCTTTAACCTAAGTGTCCTGAGTCTCCTCTTTCTCTACTGCACACTTCCCTCCTCCGTTCCTGCCGTAGCGGCTTCGCCGTGCACCTCTCCGGGACAGAATCAGTGCTTGCGCCTCTGGGGTCTGCATTTCCCATGGCCATGCCTACCACGGCAATCAAAACCAGCAGGTGGAAGCCTGGCTTTAAAAAGGAGCACCCGATCCTTCTCTCACCTTCCAGCATGTTTCTCATTCAACCAGCGAGGATCATGTGCCCATCAGGCCGAGGGTGCAGGCCTCGGGCTCCCGAACTCAGGGAGCCTTCAGGGAGAGGCCGGGCGCTCTCACCTGGTTTGAACGAAGGGCTCCGAGGGGCTGGAGCCCTGGAGCCGGAGGAGGCTTGTGGGGCCAGGGCTGGAGGGAAGGAGCTCCTATTTGTTAACTCATTTGTCAACAGCCTTGTCTGGTGAGATCGCATGGCTGTGGTATAGGCACGCACTGCTCACCTAAGACCAGTGAGCGACCCTCCCCCCTGGCATCCCACAGGTCATTTCTCTCCCCCTACAGCGGCGAGGCCAGCCTTCCCGCCTTCCCCTCGTACTCTCAAAGTCACACCTTGCCTGGTCCCTGGCTCGGCCTATGGCTGGCGTTCCTGCCGCGTCATTCTGTGGCCCCATCTTTCTCTCGGCGCTGCCCACTGCCCACGAGCTGAGTCCAGGCCATCAGCCTCTGAAGACTAGGGCTGGCCTCGGTCTGAATCGGAAAGAGGCCCCCCTTTGGGCCACAGTGAGGCGCGGAGGCCTCGCATGAAGAAAGAGTGGCCCTTTCCCCCCAACGGCGGAGAGTCCAGCTGCCGCTGGCCAGCGTCCACCCCACGCAGAGGCCCGCGGTTTGCCCATGCTTTCCTTTCTCCGCGGCCCCCGCCTCCCTCTCCAGCCCCCTGCTCCCTCTGCAGGGAAGGCGGCTTCCCCCGCACCCGCCGCGCCCCTCCCGGCCACCCTCCTCTCCCCGGGCCTCCGTGAGAGTCTGGACAGCGAGAACGCAGGGTCCACCCCGGCCGTCACTGGCTCACACGGCTGAAAACGGCCCTGGGCCACGATACTGTGCAGTGAGCCTCGATCCCCGGACGGCGAGCCTTCACCAGCACCTCGTCCCCCAGAGGCTCCCTGGCTGAGCGAAGAGGGCTATTGTCCACCGCGGTCACAGTGACCTAAAGAGAGAAAGGATGTCCCAGCGCTCCCAGGGGGGTTCCCAGGAAGGGACGCTCCGGAGCCTGCTGGCCTGTCAGTGGGGACACTGTGACTCCGTTCCTCCCCAAACATCGAGGCCCCTTCATGTCTCCAAAGTGGGTCTCGCCACTCAAAAGAGGGTTCCGCTCTGCGATTGTCCAGGAATTCCCAGCCCACTCCCACACAGCACGTCCCTCATAGAGTTACTTCCTGCCCAGAGCACCCACTTCCCCGCTCCTGGCTCCCTCTTTCCTCCCTTCCCGGCAGGCTGGGCTGTGCCACACTCAGGTGCTTCCACAAAGAAGCTTCAAAAGCGGCCCCTGCCACCCGCAGACCTGAGCGTGCGGGCTCAGGGCGCCCCGACAGGCAGAGGCTGCTGCTGGGCCCACTGCGCCTCTGCCCTCCTGGTGGAGCCATAGTTACTCCCTTCCCCTCTGTGCAGACCGGTGGCCGGGCCGTTCATGCCCTCCCTCCCCGGAAGCACCCCGGGTGACGGTTCAGGGTTTGTGCCACACACACTTCCTTCCTCAACTGAGGGAGAAGGAAGGCCTGGCCAGGCAGGGTCCCTCTGTCTTCCTAGAACAAGCTGCACGCCGGCCTTGGGTCCTCACGCGGCAGCCGGTTCCAACCCGCCCCCACAGCCACGGGCGCCAGGCAGGCACCCAGACCGGACCTGCGGCCGGGGCCCTGGTGCCTGCGCTCCCAGGGGGGGCACCCACGTCCAGAGCGGCCTCACCCCCAGGGGGGCATCCCGGCATCTCTGCCTCCTGCCCAGAAGCAGGAGGCAGCAGGGGACCTCGGAGAGACTTCTGAGCACCACTTGCTAATGTCTGTGCATCACCCCCACTCCACCCAGCCCTCACCTGCCTCAGTTTCCCTGATTTACCCAAGTGTCTACACTCACACTCCTGCTGGTCCCATAGTGCCCCAGACTCCATAAAGCCTCCCTGCAGGCGACCCCCAGCCCTGGAAGACAGGAATGCAGGGTGCCTGCCCAGCACACACACACACCGTGGTGCCTGAAGGGAATCCGCAGGGCCCAGGCCACGCGCGGGGCTAGCTTAGCGAGTCAACCAGGGCTCCGGGCCAGAGCTGGAGTGGGGAGGGGGCAGCGGACAGGATGGCCACGGCCGCGGGAGCCGTCTCCTCCCGCAGAGCCTCCCCTCAGAAGCTCCTCACTAAAGTCCCAGACTCTGCCGAGATGGACGCGGGCTAAATGTCCACTCTCAGCTGCGAGAGAGAGATCCGGGAAGCTGGGGACCTGGGGGACGGAACAGGGGAACACGCCCCGCTACTCCGGGCACACAGCCAGCTACTCCTCCCTGCCCCTGCGGGGTGGTTCCTGGACCCCCTGAGGTTGGAACGGTGCCAGGAAAATCCCAGGCTGCGAAGGGCGGGCGGGCCTCGCCCAGGGTGCCCCACAGAGGTGGCCAGCACCCCTCCCCGCCCCAGAGCACACACACGCCCGGGGCCATGCAGGGAGTTCTCCAGATGCATCAGCAGCGGTGCTGTTTGCCCGCGAGGGAGTTTTGCAGAAAGTTCTGAGAGCTGTGGCTGTGGGACGGGAGAAGCTTAGGCCACCTTCGGGGGAGGCAGCAGGCGGAGGAGGGCCTCCCTGCCGCCTGTTTCTCTTTCAAAACTGGCTCCAGACTCAGGGCTTCTGCTTTCTGCGGGCCGGGCTGCAGAGCGCCGCTCACAGAGTTGTGTCCTGAGCCTGTGAGTCCCACTCCGAAGTGCCTGCACCCAGGAGCCCTGTCCCCTGGCGGCCCTCCCGCCGCCTGCCGCAGGTCTGCCAGGTGGGCTGGACGTGCTGGGGGGTGGCCAGCGGCAGGCATCGCCTTCTCCCACCCCCGCGCCCTGCCCAGCCCGCGCCCGCCCACCACGCCCGCCCCGCGGTACCTCCATGTCCTCCAGGTGCCACCTCACTCCTCTGCCCAGTCTCTCGGGTCCGCCGTCCCCGATCCGGCCCCCGGGTCCCGCTCGGCGGCAGGGCTGGAGGGCTGCCGCTCCGCTAGCTGCTGCTGCTGCGGGACAGCCAGCCTCCGGC